TGGAAACCGATTTAATGATTTACTATGATCGGTTTCCAGGTTTTCACTCTCACGCACTCATTTGTATAAAATGTAAAAAGCAATCACAACAAATCATACAAGAAAATATAAAACTTATGAAGAAGAGGAGGCAACTGAAATGTTTTCCAATTTTTTCAAAGTTAATATTTAGAATAGAAAAAAATGTACGAATTTGCTTTTATTATTAATAAAACAAATTGATATCAAAAAAAAAAATTGGTATATCATTTTTAATATATGACTATACATAAATTTGATCTACATAGTACATTTAACACCCCAATGCTACGTAATCATTTAATAAATAAGCTAAAAAAATTAATAAGCAATTGTAACTCGAGAATTTTCAGATCTGTTTTTTAAAAAAATGCCTTTGCCAAGATCGCGGAAAGATACTGATCTCGGAAAAGCCATCATTAGGGATAGGTTTAAAGGAACTTCCAGACCCAAAGATGGCGATACAGTTTTGGTAAATTGTTTTAATAACGAAATATTATTTTTTTTTGAGAATCTAATTTCTCTATATTTTCACATTACCTGAAGCATACAACAGATTTAGACGATGGAGCTAAATGGACAAAATTACAATCAATAACTCAACAAAGTGACTTAAATGAATTTTTAAATACAGCTCAGTTAGCGGGAACCCAGTTTACTGCAGGTAAAAATTTGTATATATTATATAGAACGTTGTATCTGAATTTTAACGTGATTTATGTGATCTGGAAGAACAGTATTAGTTTCTTTGCAAATATTGACAACTATTTATTTCAATAATACTATTTGATTTTAAATTCAAGATTATATTCATTTATCCTAGAAAAAATGAACATCAAAATAATTACAAACACCTATCAAAATCCCTTCCTCCTTAGCGCAGATAAAGAAAAAGAAACATTGGCAAGACATGAAGCTAATAAAGAAAGATTAGTAATACCCAGGAGGTAATATCCGTTAATCAATTCTAGTCACTACGAATATAATATTCAATTTTTAAATTATTTGTATTGTTTTTTTTTTTTTTTGTAATAATAAGACCAAAATGGGATAAAACCACTACGCCTGAGCAGCTTGAACGAAATGAGAGAGATGCATTCTTGCAATGGAGGCGTGATCTTGCATTGTAATAACTTTACCTTATTTCTTTAAAATGCAGGATTAAATATTCAACTAAATTTTAACGTGTTACATGTATTTTTGTTAAGTCTTCAAGAGCAGGATGACTTTCTCCTTACTCCATTTGAACGTAATCTCGAAGTCTGGCGTCAATTATGGCGTGTGATTGAACGTTCTGATTTGCTCGTACAAATCGTTGACGCTAGAAATCCTTTGTTTTTTCGCTCCGAGGATTTGGAAAAATATGTAAAGGAAATAAACGAAAAGAAGAAATGCATGTTGTTAATTAATAAAGCGGACTTACTGACAGCTCGTCAACGGTAGTAAAATTTTAAAGTCATGTAATCGAATCATCTTTATTAAATTTTTATTGACTTTTAATTTTACGAACAGACACATGTGGGCAGATTATCTTGATTCTAAAGGGATTCATTATATTTTTTTTTCTGCTGCTCTGGCACATGAAAAGCTTGAAACAAAGCAAAATATGCAGACTGACAATGAAACTATTTCTGTTAGTGAAGAAGAAAAGGTATCTTCATATTTACCAAATTTCTACTATTAATATATGTAGCTAAATTTTTAATTTATTATAATAGGAAAATTTCGAAGACAATCCGTTACAAGAGAAGCATACAAACCTTGAAAATGACATATCAGTTGATAACTTAAATGATAATAATGATGAAATGCTGAAACGTTCAAATACTAATGAACAAGAAGTTTTGGAAAATCATAATATCGATGACCCATCTGATCATCGAGAATGTATTAGGACGACCGAAGAATTAATTTCTATGTTGGTCTCTGAAGCGAAAGGAACAGAAGGTTCGATTTAACTTCCTGTACCTTACTGCATATAAATTAAAGGTTATGTATTGTATTTACTAGATGTATATATTATATACTTTTCTCGGAAATAGTCGATCAAGACCAAAAAATAATGATAGGATTGGTTGGTTATCCTAACGTGGGTAAATCACTTACAATAAATGCACTTCTTGGAGAAAAACGGGTTTCAGTTTCATCAACACCAGGAAAGACCAAACATTTTCAAACTATACATCTTTCATCTTCACTAGTACTATGTGATTGCCCTGGATTGGTTTTTCCAAATTTTGCGACAACAAATGGTGATATGGTTTGCAATGGCGTTCTGCCTATTGACCAGTTACGGGAGCATACTGGACCTATTGCTTTAATTGCACAAAGAATACCAAAAGCTGTACTTGAAGCCATATATGGCATTAAAATTAAAGTTAAACCAATTGAAGAAGGTGGTACAGGAATCCCTTCAGCAGAAGAACTAGCAGTTACTTATGCAGGTAAACCTTGTTTCTTTGCATTTTACATTAATTATATTACATTATGAACTCTAATAAAATTTTGGATTTATTACTAGTTTCTCGCGGGTATACTAAGTCAGGACATGGAAGTCCTGATGAATCGCGAGCAGCAAGATATATATTAAAAGATTATGTGAATGTAACTATAAATTATATCTAATAAAAATTATATCAAATAAAAATTTAATAGCTTTATTAAATTTATTTATTATTGTCATTTGTTTCATTGTTTTACAGGGAAAACTTCCATATTGCCATCCACCACCAACGGGGATATCAAAAGAGGAATTCAACGCAGAGATACATGATCTAAAACTTTATACTAAACCGGCAAAAAAGAAGACAACTACTCAACTTTTAACCTCGACAGTACATGCAGAAGTAGCACCGGATGGTGTAACACCTATAATAGGAGACATATCACGAGAACTTGACAAATCATTTTTTAATAATCAACCTTTAGGAGTGAAGACAACGGGGAAATATGCCAGAGGGGAATTTAATAGAGTTAAATTATATTCAATTCATGGTGCATTAAGTGATGATGCTACACCAACTAACGGATCTCGATTGACACCAAATATGGGGCCAGGTAAAAAGCGACATTGGAAAGGAAGAAAAAATCGAAAGTAATTTAATATAAAAAAAAGACAATTTTCTTTGTACATTTTATCACAAATAATTCATCAACCGTTTGCCAATTTATGTGGTACAAAACTTCATATCAATAAACGAATAAATTTTTACATAAATTTGTCACAAGCAGACAGTCGACTTAGCTGGATAAGTCGGTTAATTCATAGAACTTTGCAATTAAAATATATGCTGCATATTGATTTTGGAATTATGTGGGTTCAGAATCCACTTAAATGGATTTTTAATAAATCGTTTATTTGCATTTTAAATTTCTTTGTCCGATTTGATTGTCAAAAACCACATTAGATGATGTTTTATTGGTCGACTAAGCCGACTAAACCGATTTTTATAACATCGACTTAGTCGGTCGACGGTTTAGGCCTCAACTATTAACACCATGTATACGTAAATGAAATAGATATATGAAAGTGAATATATGAAAGTATTTATTATGATATAAATTTTGGATCAGATAATTTTACAAAATAACTTATGATTCCTTTGTGCTATCCTAGATAAAATATGAATGAACGATTTTTTTATATACATAGATCGAAAAAAAAATATTATTTTTTAGATCCACCAGAATATGTTGGTTGATTATAATATTGATTTTGCAAATAATAAGTAGAGTTTGGAGTTGGAAAATTTTGATAAGAATAGGGGGCAGTAAAATTTTGTTGAGGTGTAGTCTGACGATTTGAAGGTTGTTGAGGTTGCAACTGTACAGGAACCTGAGATAAACGATTAGTGGATAAAGGATTTTGTTGTAGATTTTGTTGTAGATTTTGTTGTAGATTCTGTTGCAGATTCTGTTGTGAAGTTGATTGTAGATTTGGTTGGATATTTAAATTTTGTTGTAAGGGACGAGATGAAATCGAAGTCGTAGAGGTCGTTGAAGTTCTACGATGATGACTATTGGAGTTCCTTGAAGGCTGAGCCTCTTGTGATATACTTTTTGTGTAAACCTTTGGGAATATACCAATTATATCTTTGCCTTTAACACAACCACGCCACCAGTCCTCATTAACATATTCAGTCACTTCTATATAATCTCCTTTTTTAAAGCTCAAGTCACCATCATCAGTTCCGTTGAAATCCCATAACGCCTCAACAACTTGAGGGCTATAAACAGGTAGCATATCATGTATTTTTGGAACTCTAGATCTGTTAGCGTAAGATTCGGCCTCAGCTTCTTGTTGTTTACTAATAAAATTAGGCGGTAAAGTAGGATGTTGTGGAGGAGCATTATTTATCGAATTTGGAGGATGTGGTAGAGGACCTCGTGACATTGAAAATCTTGGAGTCGAACTTCTAGTAGTTGTTTCGGGAATCGCAGTAATCGCAGTAAACTGATCAACAGTCTCTCCGTAAGGTATTTCAGGTTTATGCTCTTGTTGATCTTGAATAGCTGATAAAGGTGGTTGAGGATCCGTAGAATTTTGGGATTGCAAATATTGTACCCCACTCTGTTCTTGTGGTTGCATAATAGATATGTCTTTTACTCCGGAGTGTACAAGTTCGGAATCCACTTTTGAATTTTCAGAATGCATAGAAGGTGCCGGCGAACCTACTTGAGGCAAAGGTACAGGAGAATGTTTTGGTGAAAGTACAGCTGGCGATTGAATAACATTATATGAAGCAGGCTTTGGTAGTCTATCTATTATTTCCTGAAGCGCAAGATCTGAAAGATGTCGTTGTTGGTTAAGGAATTGTAAGTCCCTCAAAAGCCCCGAAAGAATATGTAATATTGCGGGATCTAGAGGTGGAGGAAGTCCGTTTGAAATAGAGGAAGGTCGCTTTGCGAATGACGTAGGTGTAGTAGGTGTAGTAGGTGTAATAGGTGTAGTAGGTGTAATGGGTGCAGGGTTACTTGAATCCATTTTTAATTGAAACTTAATGCTAACGCTTATGTGCTTAACTGAAATTTTTTCGATTAATCAGTTTAAATAGCGATAACCTTCATGTATGTTACCGATCACATGTACATTTTTGACTCCGATTAAGTCCGACTTTTTGATCAACCTAATGTTTTTGGCTAATCATAACGATAATCGGTATAATGTTATAAGAATTAATTCCAAATGCCTGCGTAGCAAAGAACAATGTACATAATGCACCCTGTTTTTAACACAACAATACACCACTACAACACCAATGACACCAATGGTTGATTAAATCCGGAGATATCGATATCTGATATGCACGTAAAATTTTCATTGTTTTTTTTTTAGTGGCGAAACACATGAATGATGACTTGATATGATATATTTTGTTTGCAGTTTTTAGTACGTACGTACGTAAGTGGTTATGAGTATCGGTGTATTAGGTATATAGTGGTAATACAATTAAGACAGTTTATGAAAGAAGTTTCATTAAAAAAAGGGCAAAACTACCTTAATCTACTGTACTGCTTACGTAGCAGGTCTGTTTTCTAAAAATAGTTTAATTCCGGCAAAAATTTTGTTAATCACAGTCGCTGACCAATCAAATTGACAAAATTGGATTAATTTTGTTCTTTTTTCATATAAATTTAATAACTTTAAACAGATTCGGCCGGCCGTTTTTTTTTATATAAAATTTCTTAAAAATCTATTCAGTCACTCGGGTATTACGGCTTTTATCATTATTCCTAGGACACCTTGTGAAATATTAACCGAGTGATTATTCTGCCGATATTTACAAAGATGGTCTAAAACCTTAGATGCAGTGACAATGATTAATCGATAATGACCAGATAACCAATATCGATATAACTCTAGTTAAGTATTATATTCAGTCGAAAAAATTTAGGAGGGTTATAAATTCGAACAACTGCTAAACACTTAGGTGTTAGCAGATCAATAAGTCAAGTTTTCAACCAATAGAGGGTTTCAAAAATTAACGTGTCTAATTTTGGCGGAAATAGATGACTTTTTGAAAGCAAGGTCTTGCTTTGTTTCTTTTATTTAATATATAATTACGTTACAAATAACTAATTTATATTGTATTACATATTTATTTGTAAACATTTGTTGAGACAATTTTATTCTTAAACTTTATTATGAGGAGTTAAAGTTTTACTTAGATTCTGATTTGTGCAATAGTTAATAAGTCGTTGTATTAAGTGAAGTTTTAAGATCATAGATCTATTTGTTTTTTTATCATTAGGTTTGTAAAAATTTTTTTATTATTTTTAGTTTGTAGTTTTTAATTTTGTTGAATCTTTCTGTTTATTTTGAAAATTGTTTTTTTGTAATCTGTTGGCATCTGAGAAGTCAGATCTGTTCATATATATTTTTAGTAATTTGTGTAATATAGTTTTGATTGGTTTTTTTTTTCTACTTAAGCTTAAAATAATAAGCAATTTTGCAAAAAAAAAAACCTAGTTTTAACATAATTTTTATAATTTAAACATTTGTTTTGCCAAATTTTTATTATATTACAACTTATTATTGCTTAAAAAATCTTAAACTACTAGTTTATTTTTTCAATATTTTTAACAACATTTTAACTTTTTTGTTTTAATTTTTTTTACATATAATATAATTAAAGTATATATTTATTTTGCTTATAATAATAATTTATTATAAACTTATTAGAAAATTTTTTTTAAATTTTTTTCAAATATATTTATATTTTTTGTTTGTTTCTTATTTCTGTATACAAATTATTATGTAGAACTATATATGGATATGTCTTTTCTGTTCTCAAGCAACCTATGCAGCCTTCATGAGTATTAGCTAGCTAATATAAACTTTTCAATATAAATTATTATTATCCATATTTTAATTGTTTCTAACAGTTATCCTAACTAGCTAATATAAGTTTTTTAATATGAATTATCATTATTTATATTCTAATTGTTTCTAGCAATCATTTCAACTAACTATCTTAACATCACAACTGTTATTCAAACAGGTCATAAATCAAAATATTTATAATACTAGATATGTTACTTATCCCTGTTCCTTTCTTCAAAAATGATTGTCATTTCAGCAAGTTAATTTATCCAAACAATGCTTAATTTACAGAAAGAGTAGATAAAATCAATATAACCAAAATAAAAGTTGAATTTGCAGAAAAGACAAAATTATCTTATCACATTTTTTCTAAACTATACTAATATACTATAAACTAATTATTTAATAATCATGTTTCAATGAATTACTACATAATAAACTATTTTAATTATCTCATACTTTTGTTCAATCGATCAATAATTAATCAAACATATAACTATAAACAGGTCTATTATATGTTCAATTAGATAGTATATAATTTAAAACAAAAGCTGTCTCAATATTTGCATATTAAGCAGTTATTTAAATTTTTTTAATATTTTTTATAACTTATTTAATAATTTTTTTAATTATTTTATTATATTATTTATATTAGAAATTACTATTAATTAATTAATTTTTTTAACTCTTATATATAACTTACTATTTTTTTTTTTTTTTCACTTTGGCAGTCTTGCCGATACTCTTTATTAAGATTTCTGTTTATATACACAAACATTTTT